GTCAATATATCGACGATAATTTTTTAACTAGCGAAGATATTTAACCGACTTTTATATTTATCGATTGATTGATATTAATATTTTTAGAGTCCATAAGAAGGGTTTCAATTTAACAAAATTAAAATCTTTAATCTCATTACTAAGCTGTCTCTTAGTTAAAAAATCCCTTTAAAATATAAACAATGGAAAAATTAATTTGATTACATTTGTAATGGCAAATCGATGCCATAACTCAATCTCCCAAAAAGCTACGCCTGCGCAGCGATAAAGCCGACACAGAAATCGGCCATAGATCAGTTGATCATTATGTTTGGGGGCGTTGAATGATTTGATGGATTAAGTAATTAAGCGATTTCTCGCTGACTGAGCGTCCCATTGAGATACATCGCCATACATACTTTTCAATTTCCAAATATTTGTTCCACTTTTTTTCTTCACGATTTTCTTTTTTTGTATTTTGTTTTGCGGTTTTGGTTTTGGCCTTTTGTGAGCCAAATGAAAATGTTTAAGTATTTCGTGTGTGCCGTGCTCCGTTTTGTTATTGTTGCTGCTGCTGATTGGACTGGCCTTGTATCGCTGCGAGTATCTCGAAGATAGTTCGAGCAGTGACGTAGGCAATGCCAGACAGAGACGGGTAGACCGGGCGCGAATGAGAAAGAACGAGAGACAGCAAGTGATTGATCGGCAATCGATGGGATCAAAAAGTGAGCCAAGGCGCTAAGAACAAATTTCATTTTGGAGGGGAAAGAATAAAAAGGAATGCACTTTTTCACCTTAACATTTCAGGGGATTTGATTTTATTTTTAAAAATAATATTTTTTTATCTTTTTTTAAAAGATCTTTGATTGAATCGAACTGTGGTTTTAAGAACGTGAGGTCTTTTGAATCTCGGTTAAAGATAGAAGATATAACGAATCTGAATATATTAACACTTAGAAAAGAGTCAAAAAAATCTTGTGGAAATATGTCGTTTAATAATATTCATTACCAACTAAATTTGTGGTTTATATAATGACATCGATCGATTAAAAATTCAAGTTAAAATTCTGTGAATGCTCTATAATTCCCCCTAGATTTTCCCCAACCGCCCTTCCTCATTTTCCGCCACCTGATCTATTCCCAAAACTGTCATCGCTAATTGCTGGCACCGCTTAAAGGAGATTGATTGTGTCATGGATGCCATTTCGCCCCCTTTTCCCCTCCACCATTTTCCACACCCCTGGTTGAAATCGGTGACGTCGCATACGGCGGCCCATATGGCGTGCATACACAGAAAAAAAAATTCGATATGAAATGGGAACATTTAAAAAGCCGATATGAATAATGTCAAATTTATTAATTCAAGCTATAAAAGTACTGCTTTAAAATACCAAATGTAGTACTTTTTTAACAAATAATTTTCAATTATATAAACATAATCTTGATTCATATCAAAATGACTTGAATAACTTGATATTAAGTTAACCTGCACATTTCAATCTGATATTTTGTCAAGTTTCTTTCTGTGTAGGTATATATAGATTGAGTCGTCTTCATATATATGCAGAGAGAAGAGAGACGACGATTACACAATATATCTTCCCGCTAACAATGTACAAATATTAAATGTATATTTTTATCACACTTTGTCGGGGGGCGGAAAAGTAGGGGGGGTGAAGCTTTTCTCGGTTAGTGTCACAGAGCGATTATAGAGACGTTCTAGTCACCCAAATTCCTATAAATAAATTTATCATGGTATTCTCCCTGCTTAATGACGCGTAGACGCGTTTCTATAATTTACACTTTCCCCCAATTTTCACGTAGCACGATTTATTAATAACAGAAAACAAAACGAGAATCGTGGATCATTGATTTTCGGGGGTATTTACACGCGAAGAAATAAATAGTTTCTAATGCCTATAAAATGCCAACTCTTTTTTTGTGCGTGTAGAAGGTATTTGCCTGGCTCAATTATCATAAATTCCCTGATACTATAGATCATCTGTATAGGATCTAATGGGATGGATCAGATAGGTCATTAAATTGGACAATGCAGTCATTAAATTAAAAGACCTGCAGCCATCAATTTCCATTCGATCGATCCATCGGCTTTCCCTCTGATATGTCAAAAATTGGCATTTCTTCTTCTATGCCACTATATCTGCCCCCGACTTTTCCCCCATTTTCCCGCCTTTCCATCCATATTTCTGAACTGCGCCCGGCATGTCTAGATATTTATTGAAAAGGCGCAGACAAACATAAAAGTGAAATAATATTTCTGGCCAGATGCCAGGGAATTGCTGAAACAAAAAGCCATGGATATGCCAGTGGGTAAGGGAATCGGGAACTGAGAACTGAAAACTGGGAACTAAAAACTGGGAGCCGGCAACATAGGGAGTATGGCCAAAGGTTCTGCGGAGTGGGAACTGTTTATATTTGACTTATGCGCGTGTATTTTTGGCCTCCCCCGATTAAAAAAAAAAAAAAGAAAACTTGGGGAGGGGCCGTCGCCTGGGGGAGTGACAGATCGGATCAGATGGGATCAGACACTTCCTAGGTGATTCCTTCGCGGGACTGTGGGTCATCCTAGGAAGAAATGAAAAGCAAACGCCATTTGCCATTAGCGATTATCCGCCATTTAGTGAGTTTAAATGGTTTTTTATATGGGATATTTATTGTTATGATCGGATTTACAGCAAACCAAATTGAAACTCTTGCTTACAAGTATTTACACATTTTCCTATTTTATTAAACATTTATTTTGACTATTTTTTAAACTACGAATATGGTATTTCGATCATTAATTTTTTATCCGGAACTGAAAATATTCTGTATTCGTGCTTTATATTTTTAAGAAATATTTAAAAACCACCTTGACTTTGTAGCATTTATTGTTATGCAGTTTTAATATTTTCAATTAAAAATCATAGTAATCTTTTAAAAATAAAACTTACAAATAATGGGTATTATATATATTAAAAATCCCTGGTAACTATGGTTGCTTATTTAGGTTGATTGTACTTAAAATAACTGGCTTTCATGTTGAATATCAATGTGAATGTGATATGGGGCCTTTCATTAAACCAAATATTTACCATAACGTAACCCACTGTGCCTGGAGTCTGCAGAGCCAGCGAAGAATTCTTCGGAGACGTCTCTTTTGCCCTCTGCCTTTCGCTTTGATTGTTGCTTCTGCTGTAGTTGCATTTACGCGATGCCTTTGCGATTTGAACGCTTGCCAAATTGCTTTCCACACACGCACTGGCGAGAGGAAAAGCGGGCGGAAAATGGGTGGAGGCCACCGGCCACCCTTCGCCTTTTCTCTTCCTCATTTGGGCTGTCGTCGGGGAAATGCAATTGGCGATTGTATACACAAAAGGGCAGGCCGAGATGATGGAGGCCAAAGCAAATCAAACGCATCATTTGACTTCCGGCAGGCGTGGCCACACAGACCTCTCCCTAAAAACAACAATTCGATTCACAACAATAGCCCCCAATTGACATTTTTGATACTTTAGGTGATCAGATCTCTGTTGAGAGACAATCAAATTCTACAAAAAAAAAAAATGATTAATAAGTTTTAAGATAATTTCTCCATAAAACCACCAAAAACCATTTTATTTTAAGATCACTTAAGATGATGACTTTTAAGTCTTAATACAAATATGTTCAAAAACTTGTTAGATATTTTACATTTTAAGTCTTAATACAAATATGTTCCAAAACTTGTTAGACATTTTACAAGATTTCTCAGTCATTAGTTGGACCCTAGAATTGCGACCGAGCCTGTGCGAAAACGATTGCCGTCATGAGCGGCTAGAATTCGCTACAGATGTTGTTTTGGGCCAATTACAGCCAAATGCCAAACGACAATGGCGAATAGTTTGGAACTGCAGCCGCCGAAATGCCAGAAACCAAAATCAAAAATCCAAAAACCAAAATCCCAAATTAAAAACTTCGCGGGGCTAAAAATACGAGATGGCAAAAATGACAGACAGCCGCCAGTCGGGCGCCCACTAAACAAACTGAACTCTCACCTCAAAAGCCGCTAGACATGGGGATTACCACCTGCCAGGGACTCGGAGATTCAGAAGACTCAAGATCACGACGATAATGATGGGGCGACATTGTCATGTGCCAAAGCAAACACACACCATACACGATTTGCACAACTCACAATCCCCAGCTGTCTGAAGATGGTCCGAATCCGAATCCCCGGCTAATTTACGATACAAGTTATTATTAATTTGTCATCGGGTCGGGCATTAAAATCCCCCCTGGCAAAAGAAAATACAGACGGACTTTTATATCTCAGCAGGAAAGCTGCTGGGACTCTTACATACCCTGTAATAATATTTTATAGAAATGGCTAGAATTTTCAACTTTTTTATAAAGGGGTTTTAAAGCGGGCAGTAAAAAAAATAGCTAAAAAGAGTTGCCTACTTTTAGGCACATTTAAAAGTGATTTCCAACCTTCGAGAAAAATGTTATTAATTTTTATTTATGCAATACCTAGTATTCGACAGCGAACATACCCCCGATAGCCCAACTAATGGGTACAATTAAGCAAGAATTCGTGTCTGCCTGTCTGTCTTTCGGATCGCCCGATATTGTGGTAGGTAAACCTAATGGCTCATGGCTAATTGACAAGAGGGCCCAGGAAAAGCAAGGAAAATAAATGAAAAGCATTGGAATGGAATGGAATTAGCAAAGACAATAATGTCGCTGGGGAAGGTCAGTCACTAATGCCTATGGCTATGTGGCTATATGGCATATATGCTATATGGCATTGTTCTCGGCTGGAATCGGGGGTCCACAATCTACCATCTACCATCTAGAATCTAGAAAACAGCTGGCGAATGTCACTTGTCAGGGGTATTTTTCTCGCTTTTACGACAGTTCCAATGCGACATCACGCCCACACGGAACTCACCTTTGCAGATCTCTCTATAAATACATATACTATATGCCCCATACCATACCATACCATACTATACTATATCTCTATTCGCTTTTTGCAGGCAATCTTATTTTATACACCAAGATGGCTGTGGAAATCTTGGGAGGGTGGCAAGATTCATGCGCTCATCATGGACTTAGACATAGGCATTTGTTCCGAAGCCGAGAAAAAACAAAAAAAGAAATTACTTTTAGATTATTTGTGGGAAAATTTAAGGTAAGTACGGGTAGGAAAATATAAAAGTGCTCTGCAAATGGCCAAAAATATATAAAGTAAATTCCTAAAAAAATATATAAATTATTTTCCAGGTAATTTTAGTTACCTTAAACATTTTTCCCTAAGAGGTTTGGGTTCAACTTAATAAAGCCCATTAATTAAATCGATCCTTAAATATTTACAAAACAGTGCAATGCACCTAGGTAGACTGTGTGTAGATTCCCCGAACCAATATTTCCGGGCATTAGCACTAGTAATTAACAAAGAATTCTCCGGAAATCGCAATCGACTGTGAGTCACGAGTCCGAGTTTTCCAAGAGACAAAGGATTTGGCATTTGCAAAGCCCGCGAATATATATATTTATTTACATCTGAATCACAGCTAATTGCCATTTTTCCAACGATTTTATTTGCAGATATCACAATTGGTGGGCGTACAGATATTACGTGTGTGAGCTGCTCGCCCTTATAAATGTGATAGGTGAGTAGTGTGGTGCACGGAAAGAAATATCCAGGCATGAATCATTGGGACGCTAATGATATTTCACATCGTTTAACGCTGCAACAATATGAGTTTGACCTTGGCTGCTTTTTTGTACTTGAGCCCAAATGATCAAATTGAGGTGGAAAAATATGGAAGAATGCTAAAGTCGAGGGTCTTGACTGGGATTTACCCGGGACTCAAACTGGGAAATATTTATAAAAATACATAAATATTAAAGAACCGTTAAGAACTTTTCTTCACCAGTAAAATGAGACAATGCGATGTGATATTTTATTATTTTTTTAATTACATTCTTTTTTAAGATACGTATAAATGTTTAAAGTCCTTATGAACTCTTTTCTTTAGTTTTTGTGTTAAATAGATTTTTTTCTCGGTGCACATGCCAATCTTTCGACTTCTCCAGGTGCCAGTGAGATCGGTAAACAAAGTTTCGGGGCCAACTAAACGGATCGATCGGATTTTCTTGAGAAGGGGGAGGGGGCAACATAAATTCGGCGTTCATTAACATTCCCCGTGTCGATTTTACGCCGAAAAATCAATGACGAATTTTTATCGACTGACCGACCCGCATCAAAATAAACAAAAACCCCCCCTTCGATATATTTTTTTCAGGTCCCCTCGTGGGGCGTGCGCGCTGAAAACCGAAAATCTGACAAAATAATGAACTGTCAGAAGACATGGGAAATAAACAATAATAATGCGAGAGTAATACACGTTTATAAAATGGCTGACATCGAAAAGTCCGGCGAGATCCGTCCGTTGGGAAACGCGGGCCTAATTGGCCAGAATTCTTGAAATGGGTCAATTAGCCAGCAGGGAGAAGTGGAAATGTAAATGGAAATGGGAAAATTGGGGGGCCTTTTCCTTGACTGAAAGGTGAGGCGCCACGAAAATGCATTTAAAATTATTAAGAATTTTTCAAGATTTCTTTAGTTTATCCCATATTTTATCTCGTAGCTTAAATTTAAGCAAATTGTGTGTTGAATGTCTCATTTTACTGGTAATGAAAAATATACAAAAAATTAAATAAAATAAAAATAACTATCTCCCAAAGTTGAGTACTGTCGAAGATCTCGTCTATAGCCTTCTTGCCTGGATAATATGTACATTCGGTCGGGATGTAGAAATATGTGTCAGTGGAATCAGGCTTTTACCTCGGTATCAAATACAAAGCGTAAATCTATCTAGCCTATCTAGTTGCCAAATTGTTAAGCAAAAGCTTCTTAGTTAAATAGTTTCATTTCAGAGCACCAATAAAAAATTAATACCAAATTGAATATGCAATAGTTATGCAGAAAGTGCTCGTTAAAAATTATTGAGTTGTTCCTTTATTGTTCTCACGATAAAACCAATGCCCCCATTAAAATTAACGTACCTCGGGGGCATTTTGTTTGTTCATTGACCTCCATCCTCATACCAATTAGCCGCAATTAGCGCTGGAAATTGATGGATTCCGATATCTGGTTATATGAATCCGATTTTGTATGGCCTATCTGCCATAATTAATGGGGCGAACGGTTGTGGGTGAGTTGTAACTGCGAAGTAAATCGATTCATTCCCGCCTCGTTGGCCTCAAATCGATCGATCATGCGGATCCGATCCGAATTTTCCAAAGAGCACCTATGCACCCATGCACAAAAAGTAGACAAAAATAAAAAGAAAGCATAAGATGGCAAAGAACCCATCAAAAACGCGGTCCGATAAACAGACAGTCAAGATAGATTGATATACGATAGATAGGTAAACCGATAGAACCGAACGAATGAAAAGTGTATCTCTGTATCTTATTGGTGCTGATTTGTATCTTTTTCTTTGTGGTTCCCTTTTTCAGGTCAAATGTTTCTTATGAATCGATTTTTCGATGGCGAATTTATGACATTTGGCCTGGATGTGATAGATTATATGGAGACCGATCAGGAAGATCGCATGGATCCGATGATTTACATATTTCCCAGAATGACCAAATGTACATTTTTTAAATACGGTTCAAGTGGGGAGGTGAGTAACGAATGCAGCTCTCGCTTTAACACCGACTCACCCAAGTTAATAATTGAATCTGTTCTGTTTTTGGTTTTCTAGGTGGAGAAACACGACGCCATTTGCATTTTACCATTAAACGTTGTTAATGAGAAGATTTACATTTTCCTTTGGTTTTGGTTTATATTATTAACGTTTCTCACATTATTAACGCTAATATACAGGGTGGTTATTATATTCTCTCCTCGGATGAGGGTCTACTTATTTCGTATGCGATTTAGGTGAGTTATCTCTCTGTCGCACGGGATTATATGGGGATGATTTAGGATAGGATTGGGATTTTCTGTTCATATGAGATGCAATCGCTGAGAAAGGTGTCTAAAGGTAGGCAACAAAAATCGAAAGAAACTCAAATTATTTGTTGCATACTTCCAGGCACCTTTATAGGGGATTCGCGAAACTTTAGCCCTTTTCTATCCCCAAATCAAATCTACTGATTCCGTATCTACATATTTTCCATAAACACACATCTAACGATCTTTTCTACAATTACAGGTTAGTGCGTCGTGACGCTATTGAAATAATCGTTCGTCGTTCGAAGATGGGCGATTGGTTTTTGTTGTATTTACTAGGTGAAAACATAGATACAGTTATATTTCGTGATGTTGTACAGGACTTAGCGAATCGTTTAGGACATAACCAACACCACAGGGTGCCTGGCTTGAAAGGTGAAATACAGGATGCATGATATTGGGAGTATTAGAAGCAATACAAAATGCAATTTGTCGTCTCCATTTGAAAACCATCGAAATCAACAACAATAAGTGTCAGAACAACGACTCGAAAAACAAGACTAAGAAATGAAAATTACAACCACAAAGGAATCTAGAGATCTTCGCAGCAGCCGCTTCATAAACAAACTCAAAACTCAACACACACACCGCTAAAAAATCTTTAAAAAACGTATCTCAAAAATACAACCAAAAAAACTATCGTCAGCTCGCAGTCAGTCATCAAAAATCAGCATTAAATCAGCTCAGCCATGGAGACCACGATCGATAGTCGATAGTCGATACAGCAGGAAAAGCACACATCCAAAAACCACAGGAGAAATGAACAGGAAATAAATGGAAGCGGAATGAAAGCAGGGAGAAATATGGAAAAAATAGGAAAACATCAACAGCCACGCAACGAAAGGAATTTTAAGTAAATAAAAAAATCAAATTAACGAGAAAATCGATAAACGATAATGGACAGAGGATAACAATCGAGGAAGACAGGATCGCCAGGCCGGTGGCAAGTAGCGCCTGCCGTCGGCCAGGGGTCACAAGGTCACAAGGTCACTACGTCACAAGGGATCGCCTGGGAAATCAGAGTCAGCGATCAGCGACCCATAGAAAAGTTGCCCCAAGGACAAGGTCAAAGTGTGAGGAAACGGAAACGGAAGCCACAGACAGACACACACACATACACACACACACGACGTTACATACACATAACCACGCTTACAGCGACATCACTCATACGCCCCGTAGAACACACACACACATCGCACTTTGCTTGTCATGCAGCGTTAACTAAACCAAACATCAACAAAGTCGAGACGACGCCCGCGGAAAATTGCATTTCTGTATTAACCCAATAAAAAAGAATGAAAAATCGAAGATCAGCATCACTTTCACCGAGGAGAAGCACAGGAAACGAGATGCTACAGCCACAACATCTGAGGTAAAACAACAACAAAAGCAAGAGACGAAGAGCAGCAAATGAAAGTCAAGAAAATCGCAGAAGGAAGAGGAGGAAATCGCAGAGAAGAGCAACAGTTTAATTAAATTAAATTCAATTCAATTAAATTACTTATTACAATGATATCTTGAAGTGTTCATGTATTCGAATGTAGGTTAACTAAGTCAAGCATACAAATAATTCTATACATATATGTATAATATATATATTATATATATATATAGACAACAACAAACATTTTTTTTTCTAACTCTAAGCATTTGTATTACCCGCTAAACAAATGAACAAAACAAAACGAAACAAAACAAAAGATAAAAAACAATGAAAAATCAACCAAAAAAAAGCAAACCGAAAAACAGAATTTTTTGTATACAGAAATGAAAGAAAAAATTGAGCAGATAGAATATAATAACGATAAAGAAAAGAGAAAAGAGAAAAGAAAAGAAAGAAAAAAGCCGAGGAGAAACGAACAGAAAATATCAGTAAATATCAAGAAAGTTCAGAAAATACCATACCGAATACCGAAAAAAACCGAAAACAAAAGATACATTTACATAGTTTATTTAGAAGAAACTATAGCGCGCATCATTATATAACCGAAAATCGAAGATCGAAAAACTGAAAAGGGAAAACTGAAAACCGACCCAACTCACAAAAAACAAAGACAAACAGACAGACGGAAATGTTTTAAGCTCACCCACACACAGACACTCTCACACACACACATATAGCATGTAAAGCATATATATATATATAAATTTATCGATCGATCATTCAGCAAAGAGAAGAAGAAGAGCAGCCAACATTCGCAGCATAAATCAATTAACTCCACTAATAATAGAGCATACTCAACTCTCTCAACTCTCTCTCTCTCTCTACGAAAAATACGCCTAGTACTCAGAAGCGGAAAATGCGAAAATTGCCCAGGAAAACTCAAAAGCACACGCTTTGCCACATGAATCAAGTGTAAACATAACGATAATAATGATATAATACCGCTAGCGAATAAAGTCCCAAAAATCGAGAGGTTCTAAGATCAGATGTGGGAGATTCCCCAGTTCGACAGTCAGTATGTATGTGTGGGCATTGCAGGTGGCCTACAGTGAAGCCTTCCTAAATGAGACCCATCCGAAGGTTAGTCTTCACCCCGAACCACAAAGTCATCATCATAACAATATGTGCTACAAATCGTAATATCCGTCCAGAAAACCTTTTGAAGCGCACCTCTCTTGAGTTTTTATATCCGATCTCTCTGTCTCTCTTTTGGATCCCCGATCCATCCGACTTCCGTATAACCCAAAGAAATGGACCAACACCTTGCCTTTTTCCCATCTCTCAAAGGACGACCAAAAAAATACAATACACAGCCAGAAAAAGCCAAGCCAGAGATCTAATAAATCTAACAACAAATGTCACTGCCAACAAAACCAGTTAAAAAGTAAAATCAAGTAAAAAATAGTTAAAATGTAAATGGGAGAGGTTCTTGAAGGGTTTTAGATAGGTTCTTTCGTGGGTTTCCCACCCTGCAATGCCCAAAAGTACACAGTGAACCCAGAAACAGAAACAGAAACATGGATAGCAAAAGGAATTTACCCCAGAAGAAGATTGTTCCTGAACCAGGAATTGCCGAAAATCCTGCTCATTCCTTTCGGGAATCACTTTTCGATTTCGAATCATCTGAATATGATTATGATTCTGATTTGAGCGCTTCTTTCCGTCTACTCACACTACTCAGCATACTCAGCAAGGACGCATTACGATTTAGAGGGAGTGAAAAGTGAAAGTTGAAGAGAAGGTTAAAGAGAAGGTGAAGGTGGGAGAAAGTGGGGGTAAGGTTGAAGCGAAAAAACAATAAATGTAACAATAAATGGTAATAAGTAATTTTAGCGTACGTCTTTTTTTTTAACAGCTTATAGCCAACTAAGTGAAGTAATTGTAATTCTAGTTCAAACTGAACCATTTTTGTCTGCGTTTTTTTTTGTCGTGGATTCGTAGGTTAAGTCACACACACACTCATGCAGCATACACACACACACACAACACACAAAGAAAACGGTAAACGAAAAGCAAAATGTATAAATATCGAGGATACTTACACTGTAATTATAGGGGGCGAATTAAGAAGGAATACCATACCAAAACGTAAGCATATTACAAGGAAATTGCCATTAGTCGATATTGTTAAAGCGATACGTATATGATCTACAATGCTAGGCTAATGAAAAACCAAAAAAAAGAAAGAGGAAGGAAAGGAATACTTAGTGTAGCTCAAGATGGAATCTCTCGTATCTCGTAACTCGTAACTCCAACTAAAAGCAATTGTAAAATATCGTAACAGATCTGAAGGCGATCGAACAAACAAACAAAAGCAAATGCAAACGAACAAAACGAACGCAAGACTTTATTTTTCAAAGTGTTTGCCGCAATATAAAATAATAATATAATATAATATGTAATGATAACTCGAAGAATTCGAAATGTACTAGCTGAATGTAGAGGTTAAGAAGGACATTTCATAGACGCAATCCTAGAAGCAATAAGCACGGGCCGAAACGGAAATGAAAAGCAGAAACGGAAGCGGAAAAGGAAACGAAAAAGGAAACGGAAACAGGCAGAGCTAACGATAACATCGATGACTTTTCACCACGTTTCACCACTTCCGGTACAGTTATGTCCACTTCTCACCACACCGCACGGCACTTCTCTCTCTCTCTCTCTCTCTCTCTCTCTCTCTATCACACACCCTCTTATCCCGTCTCTTTTCCACTGAAAAACCCTTTTCACACTCCATATAGCCTGTTTCCACTACAAATAGCGGTGGAGACAGGCTATCATTCTTGTATGACCTGTTTTAAAAATTCCAAAAAAAGTAACCTGGAATATTCTGTATTCGAATCTCAATTAATATTTGTGTTTGTTTGTTCATTTGTTTGTCCATTTGTTTGTTGGTTTGTTCCCGGTCTGAATCGGAATCTGAATTCGGTTTCTGCCATATTGTTTGTGTATAATTATTATGTATTCTTTGGTGGCTAAGTTAAGGCTTTAGTTCTGTAACTTCTACCGTACTTTCTCACTCATTTGTTCTTTCGTGCAATAAAAACGAGACTTGTATACATATCATTGTTTATTTGGTTTTATTTTTGGGGCTGCCTTGCATATTCTCCGCCCACTCCTACTTCCACTCTCTCTATCTCTCCCTCTCTATCTTTATCCCTCTGTCTCTGTCTCTATCTCTGTCCATCTTTCTCAGCACAACAGCACAACAACAAAGCGAAGAAGAAAGTCAATTTCTCACGGCTCAAAAAACGCAATAAGAAATGAACCAAGAAATCGAATCGAACTAAAAGCAACAATTAGTGAAGCATATTGGTGAAATACTCGTAACTTATATTTTAAATCGAATTAGTGAGTGATTAGCGCAACGGTAACGATAAACGATTAACGATTAAAGCGATAAAAAACAGAACATACAATTTAGTTGAATTCCCTAGCAGAATCGAATCGAATAGTGAGAACTTTTTATTAGGAAGCAAAAGCGAAAGCGAACGCGTTTTTTAATTGTATACTAATCGAATCAAAATTGTAAAGAACAAATAAACAACAAATATTGCATACAAATTGAAACTGCCAATTCACATTCTCAGACAAATTTTTACGAAGCTAAGGCTAAAACCGAAAATTGAAAATCGAAAGCATAACAACACCCAATTAATAGCACTAAGCGAAAATATACAAAATTGCTGAATATTACAGATAAATCGAACTCGTATCTAGATCATTAACTAGGCCCGCGACTTTGACTTTGACTTTGACCCTCCTTCGTTTCGTTTTTCCCGATTTTCGATATCCGATAGCCAAAACATCCGATAGTCGATCGGCGATAACAAATATCGGATTGCGGCTCTGGCTTAATTTAGTCACTTAGCGTATATTATATATCAATTTGTGTGTGTGTGAACAAATAGCAGACAATAATTAGTGAAGGGAACTTTTTAGGCGAGATCGAGGGTCCAGGACCGAAACTCCAACTCCACTTTTCCTGGACTAGGGGGGCGTGGCTGGGGATTTTCACAAGCAGCTAATTTACCGTCTTCCAACATAGCATAAAGAATTCACTACCTTGTTTTCCTGAAACAAATATCGTACGTTGCAGCTTTAGTGTGAATTATTTTTAACTTCTTAACAACATGATTTTTATTTTTTTTTATTCTGAACTAAAGCCACGTCCCCATGATCTCAGAGGCTTGAAAATGATAGAATGAGATTTATTTCGTTGGTGGCCCAGAGTTCAGCAGCAAAGTTAGCGAGCAGCATTTTGATGGAGTGTATAGGAAAACTGCCTTAAAGTGATTTTCAAGTAAGACCGATCGATCAACCAGCAAACCGTGTATATGTATATATTATATAGAGGCCGAGGAGAGTCGGTGAGCATTTTTTTTACTAACAAGAAACCTACGAGTAAGCCTAACTTTTAACACAGAATCAACCGAGAACACACACACGACCTGTACATAGCCGACATACGAACATACATCCTACAACACCCTGCATATATATAAATACATATATATATACAACAAGCATATACCTATATATAAAGAGTTTTATAACGAAGTGGATTAGTTGGTAACTGTAGAGCGAGACATCTTTAGCAAAATTACACCTAAGTTTTCCAGATTCAGATGACTTTTTAACCAGACAAAAGCAAAAGGCAAGAAGCAAAAAGCAGCAGGCTGGCAAGTAGACAAATTATGAAATTATAAAATTACGAAATTACAAAAATTATGAAATTAAAAATTATTATTATAAAATTACGTAGAAAAGCAGTCAGAGTAAGGAACTATTTGTATTTCAACTTGTTTTCCAGAAGATCCTAAGTTTAGTCAAACGTAATGTAATGTAAATGATAAAACGAAACAAACGTATGTAAAATAATTGCATAAATAATTTCAAATATATTCGCCGATTGCCTTCAACTAGAGGAATTTTGATTACACTTAATAACGAATACTAAATAATTAATAATAACTAAATAATGCATTGAATATTTATACAAAACAAAAGGTAATGAAAACAACTATAAATATATGGATGAGTGGGTAGAATGAGGAGAATACAAGAATAGAAGAAGAATAAACGCAGAAAAGCAGAGGCAGACAGAACAACAAATCTACACAAAAATGAAATTCAAAAAGAACTGAAGTAAAAACAAAGATTTTAAAGCAGTAACAAATGGCAAACAAAAGAGAACAAACGAAAAAACGAAAACCAAATAAAAATCAAGATAAAGCATTCA